TGTGTGTGTGTGTGTGTGTGTGAGAGAGAGAGAGAGAGAGATTAGTGCATATGTGGTGAGTAAGGACATCCCACCTTGTAGGCGTGTATCAGGGTCAGGAATTCTTGTAAACGCAGCTCAGACTGGTTCCTCAGCTTTGATAGACACCTAATTCCCTGGGGGAGGAGGGCGGGGCAGGGCAGGGCAAGAGGCGGTCTCTGAAGGTATTTAAGAAAGCATCTGTGTATGTGTGTTCAGACCATGATGCTGCCACTCTACTCCATCTCCTACTCCCTAGCTGGAGCCTACTACCCTGCCCAAGGCGTGCAGCAGTTTCCTACTGGTGTGGGACCAGCCCAAGTTTTAATGAACCAGCCACCTCCAATTGCTCCCAAGAGGGAACGAAAGACGGTGAGTAACAGCAAGGGGCTTGGATATCTGGGACCGTAGCCAGCTGGAGCTCAGATATCTGGGAGGTCAAGGTCAGGAACCATCAAGTCTTTGTGAGTCAGGGCAGCTAGAACTCAAAGAGGATCTGTAGTTGGGAGTGAACAGAGAAGTAGTGGGTCTGTGAAGTGCTTGGATTCTCTGTCAGATACGCAGATTTTCATGCAGGAGCAACTCATATGAAGAGTGAGTAGTAAGCAGTGTCCTGAGGTTTGGGCATTGAGGCTCCCCAGACCTGTGCTTCATTTTGAGTTTCTAGTTGCTTGCCTTTAGAAGTGGTTTGTTTTCTGTGGCCCCACCTCTCTGCCTTTCCCCCTCCGTCCTGGAGGCGCTCAGGTCTCCACCTCTGCTTAGTCCTCAAGCCCTGGGCGTGGTGCCCAGAATAGGGTGCCAGGGCTAGGGAAGCCGCTGAGTCACCCTGGCTCCACCTACTGGATCTGGGCCCTGCCCCCAGAGATCAGGCCGACTAGCCACAAGTGAGCCAGCCTGATAGGTGCTAGATAAGGGTCCTGGGCCTTATTGAGTACAGCCATTGATTTAAGGACTGTTGGTAGTCAGGAGGGAGGGAGGGAGTGGCATTGTGATGTACGTACGGGAAGCTCTGTGAGGTCAAGGGTCTCCTAGGGTGGGGGATCAGGTTGAGATTACAAGAGCGGCTGGATGGCTTGACAGTAGAACTCATGGGGTTTTTGGCACCTGCCTGCCTGCTTCACAGTGGGGGGGTGGGGGTGGCCTGGTGTCTTAGGAGTTGGGGCATGGTGGAGACGTGGGCTCTCCACTCATGTAGTTTTCTTTCCCCAGATCCGAATTCGAGATCCAAATCAAGGAGGAAAAGATATCACAGAGGAGATTATGTCTGGGGCCCGTACCTCCTCCACACCCACCCCTCCTCAGGTACTGTCTGGGTATTTATACATTATTCATTGTTGCATTTTATCCCCTTCACCCCAGCCCTTTAAGCTCTGGCTCTGGCTCTGGCCAGAATGGCTGTTTTGTTTTGTCCTGACCTTCCCTTTCCCTGGATCACTGAGGGATTTAGTTCCAGATTTCTAGGTAGGCAAAGCTAAAGTAGAAATGGCTATAGGGGAGAAAGGGTGTTTCCTCAGGGCAAACTTGGTATCCTATGTTCTGCAGGCTGGAGGTGGTCTGGAGCCACAAGCTAATGGAGAGACACATCAGGTTGCTGTCATTGTCCGGCCAGGTAAGCAAGCAGGTGGGACATAACTGTCATGGGGAAAATGAGTGGAACAATTTATGATACAATTTATTTATAACTACGGAGGTGCATCAGCTTGAACTGGATGTGAACGAAGAATGTCAGGGTTTAGGTGATAGGATTTTAAGGGTGGATTTGGTTTGAGATTAAAAGGGAATTAAAACTTGAGTGGAAGAAGATTGAGGAGAAAGGATTTAGTGAGGAGTTTGCAGCACTGAAAGACTCATCTTTATTTACTCATTTTTTTTCTTCCTGTGGTGTAGATGACCGGTCACAGGGAGCGATTATTGGGGGTCGACCGGGGCTACCTGGCCCAGAGCACAGCCCTTCAGAATCTCAGCCTTCATCACCTTCTCCGACCCCATCACCACCTCCAATCTTGGAACCAGGGTCTGAGCCTAATCTTTCTAAAGGCCTTTCTATTCCTGGGGACACTATGACAACAGGGATGATACAGATGTCTGTAAAAGAGTCAACCCCCATGCCCCGTGAAACTGGGGAGCCATATTGCCTCTCACCAGAACCCACTGCCCTCTCTGAACCCATATTGGAGGTAGAAGTGACACTTAGCAAGCCAGTTCCAGAATCTGAGTTCCCTTCCAGTCCTCTCCAGGTTCCTCCTACTCTTACATCTCTCCATGAATATAATGGTGTACTTCCACCTGAGCATCTGGAACCAGAGTTGGAGCCTAACATGGAGCTTGCACCTCTATCTCCTCTGGCTTGCCCTTCTGAACCTTCCATGCCCATTGCTCCAACTGCCCAACCCGAGGAACTACTTAATGGAGCCCCTTCACCACCAGCTGTGGACTTAAGCCCCATCAGTGAGCCAAAGGAGCAGGCCCAGGAGGCTACAGCACCAGCAGCTCCCCCCACGGTGCTCCCTGCCACTCCAGCTACAGTACCTCCAGCTACTTCCCCTGCTCAGGAGGAGGAAATGGAGGAGGAGGAGGAAGAAGAAGAAGGAGACGCTGAGGGTGAGAAGGGAGAGGAACTACCTTCCCAAGAGAGCACCCCTGCCCCAGCCCTTCTGTCCCAGAATTTGGAGGCGGCAGCAGTCACCCAAGGTAAGGTGTGGTTAGCTGTTGGAGGTAGGGCCGGCTGGAGGGTGTGACTCTTTCCCTTCATTGATGACTTCCCTGTGTGCCATTGTGTCTGGGTCATTGAAGCTGTGTGATGGAACCCAAGACAGCTAATTAAGGAATTGCCAGCCTAGAGAGGGTGTGATGATGAATCCAGAGATCCTTTTTCCAGGAGTTAAAGGTATTCACTAAATCATTTCTACCTTTTTTTCTCTTTTAAAAAGTGGCGGTGTCTGTGCCAAAGAAGAGACGGAAAATTAGGGAGCTAAATAAGAAAGAGACTGTGGGAGATCTTCTGGATGCTTTCAAGGAGGTAAGGGGGCCAGAAAATAATAGAGGGGAGAGGGATGGGGTTTGAGTATGAAAACTGATTAGTTTTGCAACTAAACTTGGATGTTGTCTGGTATAGGTGAACCCAGGAGTACCAGAGGTGGAAAGTGAACCCCCTGTAGTCAACAATCCAGGCCCAGAGACTGAGAGCGGCAGTGTGGCGCCACGGTCTGAGGAAGCAGATGAGACTTGGGACGCAAAGGAAGACAAAATTCATAATGCTGAGAATATCCAGCCTGCAGAGCAGAAGTATGAGTATAAGTCAGGTACGCAGAAGGCAGGATGAGTTAGCCTTTGTCAGGGCTCGAGGAGACCAACAGTGTGATTGATTGCTGTCTTCTTTTCCATGCAGATCAGTGGAAGCCTCTCAATCTCGAGGAGAAAAAGCGCTATGACCGAGAGTTCTTGCTTGGCTTTCAGTTCATCTTTGCCAGTATGCAGAAGCCAGAGGGCTTGCCCCATATCACTGACGTGGTGTTGGATAAGGTTGGTGGGATTGGTGTGGGGGTGGTGGGGATAGGCAGTAGGGCTTGGTGCTTTGGGGAGGGATTCTGAAGGAGTAGTTTAACAGCTCTGATCTTCTGACATTATCCCTGTTCTCTTTGCAGGCCAATAAAACACCACTGCGGCCGCTCGATCCTGCCAGGTTACAGGGCATAAATTGCGGTCCAGACTTCACTCCGTCTTTTGCCAACCTTGGCAGACCAGCTCTTAGCAGCAGCCGTGGGCCCCCAAGGGGTGGGCCAGGTGGGGAGATACCCCGAGGGCCGGTGAGTGGGACTGTCTAGAAGGCACATGGGCGGGGGGGGGGCCTGCGGAGCGTCCTGTTTCTCCTTACTGGAGGTTGGGGGCTTACCCATCTTGGAGTGTGGCAGTGCCTGCATATACTGACGTGCTGTCTTCTCATTCCTTGCTCATTAGCAGGCTAACTTGGGACCACGGCGTTCTCAACAGGGTCCCCGAAAGGAACCACGCAAGATCATTGCCTCAGTGTTACTGACCGAAGACATAAAACTGAACAAAGCCGAGAAGGCCTGGAAACCCAGCAGCAAGCGGACAGTGGACGACAAGGACCGAGGAGAAGAGGATGCGGATGGAAGCAAAACCCAGGTATGGCAGAGTCTTCGTTTTGGTGCTCCCCGTCCCCCTTTCTGGAGCCAGTTCTACCCTTTTGTATGTTTTTGTTTCCTTGCCACCTACCAGTGTGTGCCCTGGTCCCCTACACCCTCTAGTCTCCCCCAGTAGTCACTGTTTCAGAGAACCTCAGTGGATATCCTATGTTTTCTTCTCTCTCCTGTCCCTAGGACCTGTTCCGTAGGGTACGATCCATCCTCAATAAGCTGACACCCCAGATGTTCAAGCAGCTGATGCAACAAGTGACGCAGCTGGCCATAGACACTGAGGAACGCCTCAAAGGGGTCATCGACCTTATCTTCAAGAAGGCCATTTCAGAGCCCAACTTCTCTGTGGCCTATGCCAACATGTGCCGCTGCCTCATGGCGGTTAGTTTCCATTGTTTCTTAAACTTAGTTCTTCTAAATGTCATGGTTTCATCTCTCACTGCTCCCAGTAATCTAGTTTCTTGCTTTTCCTCCAGCTTGTGCTGTTGATGGTTGTTGAGAAGAAATGTTTTCTTGGCTCAGGTCTTTAAAAGACTCTTAGAGGGCCTTTAGATCCCTTGGTGATGCAGACAGTTTGTACTTGACTACTAAAGTGAAGGTTAGCAGTGCTGTGGAAGCTAGACCTAGAGATTGGCTTTTTCAGAAAGATTGTAGTCAGAACCTTTTGAAATAGTTTTACTCTGAAACCCATGAGGTCATCTTGAGTCAGGATTGACTGAAGGGCAATGGGTTTTGCTTTTAAAGAGGGGCCTATATGACCCTATAGGGAGCCTCTGGTGGCCTAGTGGTAAGAAGATATGTGAACTTAAAGGCAGGCGGTAGGAATCTACCAGCTGTTGTTCTGTAGAAAAATGAGTGGGAAGTCTATTCTTGTGTGCTTTATGTGTACTGTCAGTTTGGAACTGGCCCATACTTGACCTTCCAATGGGTTTTCAGAGGCAATAAATATTACCTGGAAGGAGACTCATCGAATGATAGTGGGTTATCAGAAATGATCAACTTTAGTACAATTAAAGTTGGTATACACAGCTTCCTCCTTCTGACTGGCTTTGTGAAAAAAAAAAATACATAGGAAGAAATCACCTATCTTTCTTCCTGAGACCAGCTGATGGATTTGAACCACATGTGTTTCAGATGGTAATGCAGCTTCCTTACCACTAGGCTACTCTGAAAACCCTCTGGAGAGGTCACTGTGAGTTGGTTTTGACTCAGCAGCACATAGTAACAACAGGAAGAGGATAGGATTCTCAAAGAGCCCTGGTGGCATTAGTGTGTACCATTCTGGACTGCTGCTAATCAGAAGGTTAATAGTTTGAATCCACCAGCTATATCCTTCCTGAGAGGAAAAGTGGTTTCCTGTAAAGATTTATAGCCTTGGCAGTCCAGTGGAGGCTCCTGTAAGTTGGAATTGGCCTGACAGCGATAGGTTTGGGTTGTTAGGTAAAATCTGAGCATGATGTTCTTTTTCTTTAACCAACAGCTAAAAGTGCCCACTACAGAAAAGCCAACAGTAACTGTGAACTTCCGAAAACTGTTGTTGAATCGATGTCAGAAGGAGTTTGAGAAAGACAAAG